TATTTTTGTGAATTACAGCCAGTTACTGGAGCCATCCCATACACGGGGTACAATAACTCAGTCCTAGATTTGCACTACCTGTGGAAAGTAGGCAAACCTTCAGTATTTATTACTGACTCTCTGCCACAGATCAGGTCGGATTTGGCAGACAATGTCTCTTTTAATCAGCAGATGTGATCAAAACAGCCTCACAGAGCTCACTTGTTTGCTCAGTCGTTCACCTTTCCAAGCTTCTCCTTATTTGTCACATGAATATTTAACCAGTGCCATGAATACTGAATGATGCTCAAAGGCAAGACACCTGTCTCGCATTTTAAGAGTCACAGGGAATCTGAAAATAACTTCATCCGTCTTCTGTCTTGTCTGCATCCCACGCTGTCGTCATGAAATCTCACAGCTGTGACCTTACATTGACAAATTTCGAAGTCTAGACCAAAATTAGTCCAAACATTTCATCTGACTGCAGGATATTCAGCAGCATAGCATAAATGTACAAAGATGATCACACACAAGCCTCAAGGTTCTTCTTTTTATTTTCTGCATTGAATTTCAGGCAGAATCCTCCAAAGCGGTTAATCCATTTATTTACATTTGCTACCTTTCCAGTGAATTGGTAATCACATTACATGCAAGCTCAATTTGCCTTCATGGACAGAGCTAATGAAAAATGAAACCCAAAAGCAGCTGATCAGATGACGCAAATGTCAAACAACTGAACTCTTCAAGTCTTTACAAATCTTATTGGCATAAATTATTATTTTATGTCAAGAAGTTTATATTTTGTCAGGATTGTTCAAGATTTGTGAGATTTCAGTGAGTTCTTCCATTGTAAACCACTGGCCCGCCCTTGGTGAAAGATACTCTCTAAATATATGTATAAATATATGTCGCCCACTTAGGTAAATCTGATTATTCTTTCTTTGCTTAACTGAATAGCTGAAGCCCCGGGAGGGGAAAAAAGTGTATTGTGTAAGTTTTAAGATATTTTGTTCTTCTCAGGGCACTGTGACCTGTAACGGCACAAAATGAAGGGAAAAAGTACAGCCATTTACTGGGATAATACTTTTGTGTGGGCTGCAGAGAGGGAGTGTTTTCAACCCATTGGGTTGTCTGCTACAAACACGCTGTTGCCACAGGAATCGAATGTACTCCCTTGTGATGATATTACGCACTCATATTAGCTGAAATTTGTCCTGAAATAGACACATTTTTATTTGCTAAACATGATCAGAATTGCTGGTCAAAGAGGAAATGGGTGTAAAATGTGAATATTTAAATATACAAGGAAAGGAGGGCAGATTTTTGTTCTTATTGCAGGCATTAGCATATTTGCACGAAAAACCTGCTTTAAGTGAGTGTTCCTGAGAGTTATATAAAGAAATAACTGACTTAACCGCCTAAGACCTGAACTCTTCCACGGCATGCATTTTTAATTTCTCTTTGATATTTGGGCATATTGGGGCTCGATGAATGTAAAAACAAAGAATGACAAGATTTTTTTTTTTATACCTTATTTATGTTTTTAAGAAAAATAAGAGCCACATATGAGGATATTGGTTTAAAATTTTGATAGAACAGTAGCAGTATAATGTCCTCGTAAGTGGATATCAGGCCCATGTAGAGCAAAATTGAGTATTTTAGTCTAAATAACCCAAAATGTGATGTCCACATAGTTGGACGCCAGGTCCTAGGAGGTTAAGGCCGAGCCTTTGTTGAGTAGCCAAAAGCCCTTATGAAAATAAGCCTTACTTTGGTAACAAAGGCATGGTATAGCATATCTTTCACACTAAAAGCTCATTTTACGTTAAAGGTATAGGAATTTAAAACAATACTGAAGCACAGAGGAACTTTACAAAGGGACACTAGACTTCCACTTTCTCGTGTGTTTCTGAATAATTTATTTCATACAATACACGAGGAAAAAGGTTTTTTGGTAAGGTAAGTTTTTTGCTGATATAACACCTTTAAAGTTACACATTAAAATGGCAAAATTAATTAGCATATTAAGCAGTTTTTAAAAGGAAAGCATGGCTTTATGTGTACACAGATGCGAGCAAATTGTACAACTGCAGATTTACAATGTAATGCTTTACACCAGTCTTACACAAACCGCACAACAGCAAACCAAACAAATGATCTTAAACCCAGATATGCACAACACATTATCCAGTTAACAAAAAATCAGATTTACATTGCACATAGTTACTCTAAGTGCACTCTTTTATATATATATGTTATCCCTTTTTAATGTTTGGTAACCAAAACAATCAACCCAAGAGACATATGTGACTGAATTTGAGCAACACTGTCTAATATAATTGCTTTCCCACTTTGTACACATCTATTTACATTCACCATTTTAAGAGGTATACTGGAAAATTCACAAAATTACACTAAAGTTACTGACGACAAAAGACAGACGCTAAAAACGTAAGAGTATTTAAGTACACACTTATAAGCAACGTGGAAAATGACATTTTAATCTCTGATTCTCTTCCGCAATGTGCCTTTTGTCCTGGCTGGCCCTCCCCAAGTGTGGTTCTGTCGGAGGTTTCTTTCTGTTTAAAGGGTTTTTTTCCTTCACACTGTCGCCAAATGGTCACTCGTAGGCAGTCGCCTGATTGTTGGGGATTTCTCTGCATGGTCTATAACTTGCAATATCAAGCAACTTGAGGTGACTGTTGTTGTGATTTGGTGCTTTTTGGCAAATGTGTCTATTTGCCTTAATGCTGCGACTTAAATTGACTCATGTGTGCACACTAAATATGAAGCTAGAGTCAGTAATGTTTGTGAACTATTTGGAATTCCTAGGGTTCATGCATTATGTGGTCTGGTTGTCATGTAACTCAGAACTAAAAACGCAGTCTAACTAAACTACACTGTTAAAAAAATAACCCTTAATCGTCATAATGTAACACAAAGTTAAACTTCAGGCACATTAATCTATCCAGTTAGGAAATATAAACCACTGTGAATTTGCACAGTTACAACAGGTGCAACAG